CCCGCGTCCTGGTGGCTGTCCCTTCCCACAGGCGCCTCGTTGGTGCCAGAGTCTCCTGTCTGCGCGGTAGGTTGGCGATTTCAGGCGGCGGGGTGCACCTGCCGAGGAGCAGCTTGAGAAAAAGTTGGAGCAGAAAATAACCTGGATTTCTGCAGGTGTGTGGGGATGGGGGGTGGGCAGCCGCCTTTGACTGGACCCGAATTGTGGTTGAGTGACTGTGACCAGAGCGGGTATGGCATCCAGGAATAAATCCTAAAAGTTCCCTCTGTGACAGTTCCCAAGCACTTCCCTTGACTCCCTTACCTCCAGCCATAATTGGGGGTAGGATAAGATGGGCTTTGAGGTGAGGGTGAGATGGAAGTCATAATTACAAGTACCACTGCACAACCTGTTTTCTAGAACATGCGGCCGCCCTTCCCCCAGTTTATGCTGCCCAAGGCAAAGGGATGTGGTGCACCTAGTGGTGAATCCTCAGAATTGAAGAAGGGAGCAGTGGGCAGACTGTGACTTCAAGAAAATATGTCGTTATCTGGAGCCCTGAAACAGAGGGCCATAGTAAAACGAGAATATTCTATCAAGAAGACCCTGAATGTTGAAAGACGAATCACATGTGGACTCCCATCAATGATGTTGGTCTGTCCACCAAGTGCTCAGTTGTTATCATAGTCTCTGGACTGTGTTTTCTTTTCATCTGTTTGTCCCTAGGCTTACTTTAAGGCTGGTCACTTCTGCAAGGAAGGAAAGGAGGAAGACACTGGCTCAATTCTCTACAGGTTGGTGAGAAGCGGGAAATGCAGGGGACAGCGACAGAGTAAGACCATGGCAGGTCTTTGCTCTCTGCCAGCTTTGCACACTGCCCCAGCATCCCTTGTCCATTTCCTACACGAGATATTAGGAGTATTGGGGCAGGCGTGGATTGGGCTGTGAGAGGGAAGAGAAGACCTGAGTTCAGGAACCAGGAGACAGGAAGTGTTAGGCAAATTGGACCCTTAAACAAAAGGAGAGATGTTTGCGTCACGGGTCAGGGTGTCTGCCTGTCAACCAAGCACTCAGACTCCATTTTCTCCTGTAGTTTCCTTGTCCATGGGATGGCCTGCTGTCTTCTCTAGGGTGTAACTGGTACCACGGGAACGAAGCAAGGAGTGGGAAATTGCACCACATCCAAGCAGGTCGGTATGAGATTGGGTACAACTTCGGGTAGGGTAGTGGAGACCACCCCAGGCCAAACAGTGATTAAGGCCTAGTCTCAGGATTCCTCAGCCTCTCCTATTGCCAACATACTATCCCACCAACCTCACACCTCTTTGGGGGCAGGCCAAACAGCGGCAGCTGTGGGCAAAATGAGTGTGACAGAGAGACTTTCTAATAGCCCAACAGCCCCACCAAGAATCCAAGGTCTACTCTGTGTGTGTGAGTCTCTGCATGGAGTGACACAGTTTGAAGAGACTCAAAGCCACGTGTGCGTCTCTCTCCCTAGATCCACCTCCAGTGGCATCTCTGGTGGAGTTGGAATTGCTGCTGACCACCACCCTTGACAGGTCTGCACCCACCTGGAAACCACCCATCCTCCCCCTGCTTGTTTGTGCCTCTTCTGCACTCTTGTCTGTGATATTGGCTGAGGCTGGTCTTGGGAAGGAAGCTGGTTGACTGCTGGACTGGTGATTGACTCTAACTCTTATTTACGACTCTATCGCCTGAATCAGCGAAAGGTCAGAGTGTGAAGATACACAACTGT